CTGCCCAGCCTGCCGGTTCTTGCAGTTGTGGCTCCAGCCCCTGGGGACATCCTGCCCACCCCCCACCCTTGGCATAAAGAGATGAAACCATGGAACGTCCTAAGAACAGGGCTGAGGGAGAACCTGCCTGGAGCCAGGGCATCCCGAGGGGCTTCCCACGGACCTGCTTTGGCTGCTGGGGGGGGTCCAGAATTTGGGGGCTTCTGTCTTTTCCATAGAGATGTTTCCCCTGCCCCAGGGTGTTCAGGCAGATGCAGGGACAACAGCCAGGATGGGGATCACCGGCTCCTTGGGGGCCACTCAAGTGGTATCAGTGATGGGCAGAGGCTCCTCTGATGTGTCATCAGAAAACCCCATCCCTGCCTCCCTCCCCAGGCCCCCCGGAGGCCCCGAGCAGGACCCAGCAGGACAGTTTTAGTATTTAAATCACTGGGTTTTCTGCAGGGTCCTGCTCACCCCCCAGTCCCGGGGCTGTTTGAAGAAGAGCTGCTCCGTCTCGCGCCGCGCTCGCTATCGGGCAGCACCAACCCCAGCGGCAGAGGATAATAGGATTGTAAACTTTTGAAGTTAATAGGAAAATTATAGTCCTTCCGTGTATTATTATAATGCAATAAGCTGCCACATAGTGTCTCTCGCCCCGCGGGGTAGCACGGCTTGTCACCCAGCCTGTGAAGGTAATGATTAAAGCCCCATGAAATTCGCAGTGTCACAAAAGTCTTAAGCAGCATGAAATTCCCTGTTTTCCATTTGGGGGGGGTGGGGGGGGGAAATAAATTAAAAAAATATATATTGCATTTTGACATTTTTTTGAAGAGAGACCTGGTGGTTCCAGATCTGCTGCGGCGGCACAAAGGTCTCGTGCAGACGAGCCCATCTCACATGGGAGCTAAAGGCCAAAAATCAGGAGAAAACCAGTCCCAGGGGTGGATTTGGCCCCTCAGGGCTCCGTGTGTCTTTCCTGCATCCCTCAAGTGCAGGATCTAGCCCGGGAAGGACGAGGCTGAGCCCGGGGCTGGGTGCAGACACCCCAGGTGCCTGCCCGGCCAAAGCAGCTGTGAAATTCAAAAGCTTTCCCTGAGCTTCTGTTCCAGCTGACGAGCCTGGAGACGTGAGGAGGTTAAAGGCACCACGTGCCTTCTCTTCCCATTCCCAGCGTCCTCTTTAAGGCACGATGAAGTGAGCAGGGCTGTGCCAAACAGTGGAAGAAAAATCATGTTCAAGCCAGTGAAAGAGAAGGAGGGAAACGTGGCTGCCCCGATGAAGCCCCGACCGGCACAGCCCGGCTCTGCAGCCCGAACCCGCATCCCTCCTGTCCCCCCTTGCAGATCAAGCTGAAGGAGATCTTCGAGACTCCCTCCGAGATCGCCCTGGTCCTGGAGCTGGTGACGGGAGGAGAGCTCTTCGACAGGTACAGCTGCTGCCCCATCCCTGCCCCCCCGGGCGGGGACAAACCTCCCTCCCGTGCCGGGGGAGGATGAGGATGGAGGGGGCTGATGCGCACCCGGGCTGGGGGTGAGGGGTCTGTGGGGGGCAGGGCCCTGCCACCCTGACCCCGTGTGCCCGCAGGATCGTGGAGAGGGGGTTCTACAGCGAGCGGGACGCGGCTCATGTCGTCAAGCAGATCCTGGAGGCTGTTTCGGTAACATTTCCCCCCCGGAGCCCCTGAGGTCAGGTCAGGAGGTCCCGTGAGAGCTCCAGGGGTGTCACTGAGGGGGCTGCACCCTCCCGAAGACCCCCAGGAGAGGCACTGGGAGCTGCAGCCTCCCAAAGACCCCCGGGGAGCGATGTTTGCCCCTCGGCCCTCCGAAGGAGCTGATGGCCGCGGA